CCCCCCCCCCCCCCCCCCAGTAGCGCTCTTGCCTCTGGCCACATATGAGCAACGGTCTACCCAGCTAAAGTTGCAGGCAAGGCAGCCTGGGCACCTGCTGTGTTGGAGATGGCTGGAGGGGCTTGCAGGAACCAGGAGAGCAAAGCCTGCCTCCCCTCACGAATCAGGGAGCATCAGGCTCTAGCCAGCTGGGGCACCTTGGGAAGGAAAAAAGGACCCATGTTCTTGGCCCTGCCCATCGTACTCCCTCCCAAGTCCCCCGGAGCTAATAGCCTGCCCTGTGCCCTACCCTCAAGGCGTGTCCTGCCCATCACTCCCTCCCGCACCCCCTGCCCATCACCCCCTGGCCAGTTCCATTTTCTCCAAAGCAGGGGCTCTCCATTGCCTGCCCCAGGGCCCACAGGGGTGTGGTCAGCCTTCAGAATGGCAGCAGAAACTCATGTCCAAATAACACCTCAAACTGAGATGTGGAACAGATGGGTTGGGGCACAGACTGCCGCCTGCTCTCCATCATCACTCAAGTGGTACCATGTCATCTGATGATGAAGGCCCTGGCCTATAGGACAACACGACTTTCCACTCTCTGTTTTCAAGAGACAGCAGGCCTGACAGCCTCACACCTCCCCTTTCGGGAACTGTTCCTTCTATATGGAATGCCTATCCCCTATCTGCCCACTCTGAGCCCCATGCTCTTCCCTAATAAGGAAACTTCCCTGAGGCTGCCAGGCTTAGGATGACACCAAAGCCCCTCTACTTTGGCCCAGGTCCTGTGAGCTGGGGTTTCTATTCCTCTGTCCCCCAGCAGCCCACTGGTGTCAAGAAGCAGCTGCGCCCAGCTCTGTGATCTCTGCACTGGCAGCCTTGGGGTCTTTCAGGGCTCGTCCACTCCGGTAAGCCCAGCAGTGCAGGCTCATCCAGGGGCCCCCCACCTCACCAGGCATTCCTTCATTACAGAGACCCCACTGCCCGCTACCCCAGCCTTGGCTGAGACCCTGCCTTAAGGCCCATTTCCACCCACTCCCCTAAGTCTTCTGTCTGCTTCCTTTGGGAGACTGGAGTCAGCCTGCTCCGCTCCTCCTCTGGGCTTCAGTGTCCCCCCACCTGTGAAATGAAGGGATTCATCAGATGTCCTTCCTACATATTGCAACCATGGAGCATGCAGACTATCTCAGTCACAGGGGCACAGAGGGTGGGGAAGGAGCGAGCAAGCGGCCTGTGCCTGTACTCAGGTCTTGATAAATTGTGAGACCCCTTCCTTGGGCAATGAGGGAATGTGGACAGGTATCTTCCAAGCTGGCTGCACCTAGATCTGGGAGGTGCTGGAGGCTGATGAGGAAGGCAGGCACATGGCCCCTGTGGGAATGCAGCTGATACATTCACTGTGGACCCTGGCCCACACCAAGGGGCCCACCAATCACAGGAGTTGGCAGGTCAGGGCTTGGGGTTACCCTGCTGCCTCTAGAGAGGTAGATAAAAATAGTGCAGAGCAACTCAGTTTTCTGGGGGAGGTCAGCTGATCCCAGGAGCGTAGGCAGTTTCCAGTGTTTCTAGGCCACCAACATCTTCCTTCACTCCTTGCTCACTGGGCAATTAAGTGTTGGCTGCCCAAACTGTGTCTTTGTGAAGCCCTCTACTGCCAGCCCAAGCCCCAGTTCTGAGCTGAGCAGTTGCAAAGCCAGGTCCCAGCTCTCTGGGCCTTCCAACGAGAATTCCAGAACCAAGGTGGGGTTGCGGGGTGTGAGGGAACATAATGCAAACCTACCAGCCACTCCCCCAGGCTCCCCCTCCTGGCTAAGTGAGCACACCCTCTCACTTCTGTGTTTGAAGCCCACATAAAATAAACAAAAATTGTCAGTTTTCAGAAACTGGCTCTGTTCCCTCACTCCTGGAACCTCAGCTACCATCTGAAGATAATAAATAGGGTCTGGACTCCATATTCTCATGGTTCCAGCCCCCCAAAACACCTAGACAGAGCTCCAAATCCAAAAGTTACGAATAAGTCTTATCCCGCCCCTGCCCGCCATGTACCGTGACCGTGCCTCCCTGAGACCTGGTTTCTTGAGCACTTAATTCTATTCTCATTTTAATAGGTAATATATTTACATGCTCAGTTCAAAGCATTCTAAGAACCCCCTCCTAAAACCTCCCTCCACAAGGTAACCCTCTCTCAAATCCTTCCAGAGGCATTTTGTGCTTATACAAGCAACTATGTATAACCTCACCTCCTGCTTCCCCCAACGCCCCGCCCAATGGTAGTGTATTCTACACAAGTTTTGCACTTTGCTTTTTTTTTTTTTTTTAACTTTAAAGTCTTAGTACCCGAAGAGTCTCCAATATTACCTTTCTAGGACAATCCAGGATTCCATTTAACCAGCCCCCATCACGAATGTTTAGGCTGTCTCCCGTCTTCAGCGCTTACCTCTGCCATACTTAATTCCACACATGGGTGAGTATATCTGTAGGATAGGTCCCTAGAAGGAGAATTGCTTGGTCAAAGGTCATGATGCTGTTTTAATATGGCCAGATGTCCCTCTTAGAGGGGGGTAGGTCTATGGCATCACCCAGCTGGGCACGAGAAGCTCTCCCAGCCCGGGGTTTGACTTTTGGCTGTCTGATAGGGAAAATGTTTTTCTCTCAAACTGAAAAGGTTTTAATTTGCATTTCCTTTATGAGGTTGAGCATCTTTTCATTTGGGGAACAACCGTTCCCTTTTATCGTTTTAGGAACTAAGTCAAATCCTCAAGCCCGTTTTCCCACCGGATTTTTTGTTTTAAAGCTTTTTATAGATTAGAGAAATGAACC